CCTCACAGCAAAATAACTCAGTAAGGAACTAAAAGATTGAAACAAAAAAAGTGAACAACATGAAATCTAATCAAACAATTTAAAAAGTATTAAGAGAATTATTGCAACGGAAGAAAAGTAAAAGTAATCTAATACACGCATAACTAAAGAATCCAAATAAGAACATTAAAAATAGTGAAAAGAAGTAACATTGAAAGAAATATCTTGAGAAAAAGTTCTAGAACTAGAAGAATAAGTCACTACAAAAAATTAGGTTAGCCTTAGATCTCTCCACAGCCTCCTTTACCTGAGAAAATGTGGCCCTGTTTGTTAAAAATACTCCAGGAAACAAAGTATGACATAAGGATTTTATATGAAGTTAAACTGCTGTTGAAATGTACTGGACTCCAATAAAGCTGTCTCTGACTGCAAAAAAAAAAAAATGTACTGGGAACAAATTTCTAGAACATGTAAGAACTCTACCTCTAAAAGACACTTAATATATGCTTATTTTGAGTGATTTGTAAAACACTTTAATCCATGTTTCACTAACGAATTCAACAACTATTTCTTGAGCACTTACACTATTGGAAATGACTCGAGAAACCAGACCCTCTAAACTCTGGATGAGATTATGGAAAGGATCTTCAAAGGGGCATAGCAATTAAAAACAAATATGAACTCTAATTGACACAGAATAACTCCACCTAGATGATCTGATCTTGATCCCAACTTCAGTGAATCAATGCCTCCTAAAATGGTCCTTCCAGAAGCTTCTTCCTCGAACCTCATCTGCCCTCACCCCATACCCTACTTACTCCTGGCACTTTCTCCGAGGGTTCTGGACAAACATCTTATCTAGGCTAAGGATTACAAACTCGAGCCTGGGCCTCAACATCTTTGCCTAAACTCTTGATAGGTGTTAATCTTGTAAGATCATAATCAAATTCATTATCATCCTCCCCTTCTTGGCCCACTTTCACTACCCAAACTAGCCTTAATGTCTACCTTTGCCATTAGTAGCTTTAATCCTCAAAATTGTATTTGCTAGTTCCTTGTCCACAATTAGTGTTCCTCCATATACTATTCAAATCTATTCCTTTTCTTTTGGCTTCCATTTTTTGTCAACAAGCTAGTTCTGGCCTTCATTACCTCTAACCTAAACTATCAAAAGGGCTCCTAGCTGAGCACCCTATATTTGATACTCATCTTATTTGTTTAAAAATATATAATTATATATATATATATATATATATATTTTTTTTTTTAAGGACTATGGCAAACAAAGGAAATGTGATAAATTAAGTGAACAGCACTCCAAAGTGACTAAATGCAATGTACACTGCAATGCTGGGCAAGTGAAAAAGTATGAAAGGTCAAGGACAAACCTTGTTAGCAACATGGTAATGGATGCTGTACTAACCATAGTGATTAAGGTTCCTGACATATCCATCGCCTCTCCTGGGGAAAATTCCCTGCCTAGAGCAACTTTCCACCAGCTGATCACTGGAAAGAAGATGAGGCAGTTTGCTTCTGTATGTTTTAGAAACTCTATGGGGCAGTTCTACTCTGTCTTATAGGGTCTCTGAGTCAGAACTGACTCAATGGATGTTTAGAACAACTCTAAGCAGCCATATTCATTATCTATCACCCTTCTTCCTCCTTAACCCTAGACCAGTGGCTCTCAACCTGTGGTTGACCCCTTTGGGGGTCAAACGACCCTTTCACAGGGGTCGCCCGATTCATAACAGTAGCAAAATTACAGTTATGAAGTGGTAACGAAAATAATTGGGGTCACCACAACATGAGAAACTGTAAAGGGTCGTGGCATTAGGAAGGTTGAGAACCACTGCCCTAGGACTAAGGATGGACTCTTGGCCTGACTGGAAATGTTCAGTAGATTTTGAGGCAGGCAGGAATGAAAACTCCTCCAAGAGTGAGACCAGCTGTCCTACTAGACATTTGCTCTCAGGAATGTGAATTAGAAAATAACAACATGAAATTGGGCAGTTAGTAGTGAATGGAAAATATGGAGTGAGAAGTTACAGTGTGTGACATGAAAACAATGGGGGGCCACCAGTCAGCTGAGGTGAGGTATAGAGGATAAGTAGAAATTAAGTGAGAGAAAATAAAGAGGTTTCTGGCTGGAGGCAAAACTGCTGGAATGCGAAGCAGACACAGAGTGGTTCACCGAGCCCTGTTACTGGTATAGTGTGTGCATGAAGAACTTGGCTCAGCTCTTTACCCGCTAGGTGACTTTAGGAAAGACCCTTACATGTCTGTGCCTTTGACTGTCCTTTTGTCTAAAGAGGAATCCCTAGGTTACAGAAGCTTGTGTGAGTTAATGCAGGTAATAATGCTTGGCACATCAATTATGCTCATCTTCATTATCCACAATTTCCTGTTCTTGAGGTCCCTGAAGCTTCCCTTGGCCAAATTGCTTTCTATCATGTTTGTACCTACTCCAGTTAAAGGAAGGTTCCAATCACTGGATGAGAATACCTTGCCTTTATTGTCCTAAGGCATCTTCATTTAGCCTGAGTGAGTCTGTTTTTTTCTTTTTTAAAATCATTTTATTAGGGGCTCATACAACTCTTATCACAATCCATACATATGTCAATTGTGTAAAGCACATTTGTACATTCATTGCCCTCATCATTCTCAAAACATTTGCTCTCCACTTAAGTCCCTGGTGTCAGCTCATTTCCCCCCTCCCTTCCTGCTCCCCCCTCTCTCATGAGCCCTTGATAATTTATAAATTATTATTTTGTCATATCTTGCCCTGTCCGACTTCTCCCTTCACCCACTTTTCTGTTGTCCGTCCCCCAGGGAGGAGGTCACATGTAGATCCTTGTCATCGGGTCCCCCTTTCCAACCCACTCTCCCTCTACCCTCCCAGTATCGCCACTCACACCACTGGTCCTGAAGGGACCATCCACCCTAGATGAGTCTGTTTTTCACAACCCACACAGTGTAAAATAATATAGATGAGTTTTTAAAAGTATTTTTTAATGAGAAGATTTAAAATGTAAACGTATTTAATAAGAATAAAACTATTTATAAACACAGATTTTATTAGATTACTTATAGGAAAAAAATTAACCATCAAGAAAATCAGTGAACTAGAATATTCTTTTTTAATTTTTAATTTTTTTGTTTCAATAGCTGCTTCTATTTTATTTTATTTTATTTTTAAATCATTTTATTAGGGGCTCATACAACTCTTATCACAATCCATCATACATCAATTGTGTAAAGCGCATTTGTACATTCACTGCCCTCATCATTCTCAAAACATTTCCTCTCCTCTTAAGCCCCCCGGCATTAGGTCCTCATTTTTCCCCTCTCTCCCCGCTCCCTGCTCCCTCGATAATTTATAAATTGTTATTTTGTCATATCTTGCCCTGTCCGACATCTCCCTTCATCCACTTTTTGGTTGTCCGTCCCCCAGGGAGGAGGTCACATATAGTTCCTTGTATTCGGTTCCCTCTTTCCTACCCACTCTAATTTTCAGAATACATTCTGGAAAACAATTCTTGATGTCTTCCATCTAAGCATCTTGCTCAAAAACCTCCTTTCTGAAACGTCTCCTTTTGGCAATCATTTTTTAAAAAATCATTTTATTGGGGGCTCATACAACTCATCACAATCCATACATACATACATTGTGTCACACACATTTGTACATTTGTTGCCCTCATCATTCTCAAAACATTTGCTTTCTACTAGAGCCTTTGTATCAGCTCCTCATTTTTCCCCCTCCATCCCTGTTCCCTCCTCCCTCATGAACCCGTGATAATTTATAAATTATTATTGTCATATCTTACACTGTCCGACGTCTCCCTTCACCCACTTTTCTGTTGTTCATCCTCCAGGGAGGAGGTTATATATAGATCCTTGTAATCAGTTCCCCCTTTCTACCCCACCCTCCCTCCACCCTCCCGGTATCGCCACTCTCACCACTGGTCCTGAAGGGAACATCCACCCTGGATTCCCTGTGTTTCCAGTTCCTGTCTGTACCAGTGTACATTCTGGCAATCATTTCACTGGGTTCCCCTTTCCTTCTCAGTTATGCCTACAATTCTGTTTACGCTTTTTCTGTTTGTTCTTAAGTCTGGTTGTCTTGCTTTTTCTTTTTATCACTTTCCTCATGTGCGTGTCCTATTTCATCTCTCAGTGCATGACTTCAGAGGCCAGGGACGAGTGTCTTCTGCTTCTTTGTGATGGCAGTGGAGTGTAATGGAATCCTTAAGTGACACACCAGAGATGATCATGCTACAAAGTCCACTCCCAACTCTCTGATGTCTATATGGACAAAATGTCTCAGATTCCCTGACCTTTTCCATAAAAAGGAGATTATCTCTATCTGATTTCAAAGTCCGTGGGATAATTTATTATGGGTCTCCACCATGATGGATGACATTCATGAGAAGTTTTGTAGTTTTGTCCTCATGCACATGTTACTACTGCACAGATTCAAAACTAAAATTACTACCTGGAGAGTGATATAGTGACAACTGAGAATGCCATATGGCTGACTGGTGGAGGGCAACTGCCTCAGACAGTTCATCTTTAAAGCAGTGGTGAGTGGCATTTCATCACTAATCGTAAGTGATCACAGTTTACCCCCATCCTGCCCCTGAGCAGGGCCATTAGTTGAAAGTGAACCTGTCACCACTCTTGGGCAGACTCTGAGCTTTGACCTATGAAGAACGTGACTTCATAGTTACAGCTCTGGCAGGATACGATTTAGAGGGAACTATGTCATGTGGCCACACTTGTGGAAATCAGCTTCCATTTCTCTCCTCTCCTCCCTCCCTCAGTAACTTACGGCAGAATGAGCACAAATGAAACAAAAGCCCTTGCAGGGTATATTATTACTCTCTTGTGCAGAATCATAAACATGTAATAATATTTTGGTTTTTTATAAATTACTCAAGTACAATATTCAGGAGTCTAACTGGTATATCTGAATAACAAAAACAGAATGCTACACGTATTATAGAATCAAATTCACTTACTTGACATTTCTGACGCAACTGTCGTAGTTCTTTTATAACTGGGGCTAGAGCAGACTTCTTTTCAGCTACCAATGAATTTAGTTTTTTCACCTGGGATTTAAACAAACAAACAAAAACAATGCCTGAAAAAAAATTCAAAAGAACAAAAATACTATGTACTTACAGGTCTTTATTGCATGTTCTATGTGTGTAAAAAAATAACCTAAAAAAGGCCTAAAGCCAAAAAATTAAGAAATAATTAGTAATCTTAATTCCTCAAAACAATGTAGTGCCACTTAGCTATTTGAAATGTCAATTATCAACCCAAGTGACCAATAACAGATAAATGGGAACACAAAACATGGCCTATACATTAACTGAAATACTATTCCGTCACAAAATGAACTGAAACACATACATGCTACATACAACATGGATGGACCTTGGGAGCATTATGGCTCAGTGAAAGCAGCCAGATACAAAAGGATAAATATGGTACGATTCCACTTACATGAAACATCTATAGTAGGTAAACTCATAGAGACAAAAAGTAGATTAAAGGTTACCAAGGGCTTTGGATAGGAGGGACTAGGGACTTAGTTTTTAATGGGTACAGAGTTTCTGTTTGGTGATAAAAATGTTTTGGCTATAAATAGTAATTATGGTTACACAATATTGTAAATATAATTAGTACCACTAAAATTTCAAGTTGAAATGGTTAAAATAACACCTCTTAAAAAAAAAAAAACTTTTTATTAGGGCTCATACAACTCTTTTTTTTTTTTTTTCCATGTATTTATGTCTTTTATCAGAAGAGTTTTTTTTGTTTGTTTTTTTAACATTTTATTAGGGGCTCATACAACTGTTATCCCAATCCATACACACATCAATTGTGTAAAGCGCATTTGTACATCGTTTCTCAAAACATTTTCTCTCCATTTAACCCCCCCGACATTAGGTCCTCATTTTTCCCCTCCCTCCCCGCTCCCCCCTCCCCAGGGGCTCATACAACTCTTATCACAATCCATATATCCATCAATTGAAAATAACACATCTTATATGTATTTTACTACAATAAAAACACAGTTTTAATGTCAATTACCATGGCTGTAGACCAGTATGATAAAACTTATAATCTAACACTGGATGAATAAAGTCAGTAACAAAGTTCTCTATCAATTAATGTGATCATATTACATAAAATATATGTATACCAACAATTATACAAGTTCTGTAAACCACACATAAACATAGATAATATGATATTCAAAATACTTAATAACCTGCCGAGCATAATACTGGCCAGCCAAAATGGACTCCAGCCTGGATAGATGGAGTCTGGGAGGTTTCTGCTGTTCTAAATGTTCATCTTAGTAGTAGTTAGACTGTGGAGACACCCAAAGAGTTCTGGGGGAATGGCCAATAAGACTAAGAAAGCCAAAGGGTGGTACTTTGAGAAGATGGGCAGCATGGAGCTACACTTGCATACTCTGTTGCCTGTTCAGCAGCCCAGAGTATGGACAGATCCCACAGATCCCAAATTAAATAGCTGTATTTGTTAGGGTGAAATGATTTGGGAAAACTTTTAAAATCTTAATGTTCTTTATTATTACCTAACTTTCACACACTGAAAATACAAATGCCCAAACTATTAGACTTAAATAACTCTAATAAAAAAGGACAAATTCAAAAGAGACAATAAAGGCAGATGAAGGAATAGTAAACTAACAAAAAGGCGCTGTACAGAAATGAAAACTTTGAACGTGTCACTGAAGACCAGACAGACTAATAAACATCAGCCTCCTGGATACACGTCTAAAGAAACTTAAGAACAGCTGTGGCCTCACCATTTCAGACATGTCGTCCAGTGTCCGTCCTTTCATCTCGTCCACTTCACTCTTCAGTGCAGACACTCTCTCTAGTTCTTCTTGGGTGTAACTGTATCCAGATATCCCCCTTTTCTCCTCAATCGTTTGCTATGGGAAGAATGAAATGACCACAAAATGGGGTTTGACCATGATTCCCTTAAATATATAGATTGAGTATGTAAGGTTAAAGTTTTAAATGAAACAACTTAATCAAAAATCCAAAGAATGAATTGTGTTGGATTCAATAAGTCTATGCTTTTACAGACTGAAAAGCTACACTAAATATGGCATCTTTAGGTATACAGAATACATTTATAATTTTAGACTTCAGACTAATGCTCTACACCTATTACAGAATATAAAATAGCATGCACACATACTTGGTGACTGGATGACAGCGGTTAATTGTACTCTCATTCACTCAATAAATATTTATTATATACCTATATGTGGCAAGCACAATTATAGGCATCAGGTATGTGGCAGTGAACAAAAGAAAAAAGGACAAAAGAAATAAAAGAAAGCCATCTTCTCTCATACAGTTTACTTCTAGTGGGGGGATACAAGGAAAACACATACATAAAATACATAACTTGTACTACGAGAGGGTTAAGGGAGAACAGGGTTGGAATCTTAAATGAATATAGACCTGAAGGAAGTGTGTAGTAAGCCTAGAGATGAGGAGGTGAGTGGGGATCAGCAAGTGCAGCAGCCCTCAGGTGGGAGTATACCAACTGTTCCTGAGCCGGCAAGGCGGCCAGTGTGGCTGGAGAGCAGAGAACACGAGGCAGAGCTGAGGGGTGGGGGGGCAATCACAGAAGGCTCAGCTGGTTGTTGGAACAGTCTCCGTGTATTTCTCTTACTCCACTCACACACTGGTGTCCTTTTTTGTTTGTTTGTTTTAACTTTTACTGTGATTTGGGTGAAAGTTTACCAAGTATCCTACGTTAGATGATAAAGTATGTCACTCCTCTATTTTTAGACCAATGAAAAACATGGTGACGTATTTCAGATGAGGTGAGAGGCCACTGAAAGGTTGAATGTGGAGGAATTTTTATACGATTGCTTTAGTATCTTTTCTGAGATCAGACTAGATAGAGGCAGAGATGGGCAAAGGAAAATCAGCCAGGAGATTGTATAAACAATTCAAGCAAGAGCTGAGGGTAGCTGGATTCGGGGTGGCAGTGGGAGACATCAGGAGTGTCGCTGTATATATTTTGAAGCTATCTCCAATGATACTCTGACAAATAAGGGTGGGAGTAAAACTGAGGGGTGAAGAACGACTCCCAGGTTTCTGGCCTGAGAAACTGAAAGGATGGAGTGGCCATTTGTTAAAATGAAGAAGATTGGGAAGAACAGTTTTGAGGGGTGTTGAAGATCAGAAGTTGAGTTTTGGACACACTAAAAATGTGTAACGTCTATTAGATATCCATGTGGAGATATCAAGACGGTATATATAAAAAATGAAATACAAGGAGGATTGAGACTGGAGATACAAAGTTGTGAGTTGTCAATAGTCAGAAAGTTTTTAAATCCATGACACAAGATAAGACCATGGAAAGGGATCAAGGGCTAATCTTGAATAATTCCAGTATTTAGAAAGTGAAGAAATGAGAAGAAATCCACGTTGGTACATGAGTATTATTATTGGAAAATATTTAATGTGAGCAAAATGTAGTTACTACATTATCGACTTTAAAATGTAGTACTTGTTAACATCCATGTTTGATTTATAGTAAATTTTAAATCTTAAATTCAACAGCATGAGACAGAAAAATAGCTGAAATGTCATTTAACTTCAATAGGATTATTGCTAGCTGGTAAATCAGCATCTTAATGAAAACAGAGTCTCCAACAATGAAAGAAGAAGAAAATAAAAAGCCAAGCCAAAAAAGTTCAGAGGGAATTGGCTTCTAGAAGGAGACAGCTTTGTGGCTAGAAGGACTAATCTGGGTTTAACTTTTCTTTTGTTTTTTTTGGGGGTGGGGGTTAACTTCTCTAACATCCAAGGCACAGATACGTAGTAAGAAACAAGCCTGCAGGCAGCTACCACAGCATTCCTTCCCTAGATATTTCTTACCAAAGCTCCTTCGAAAATTTTATCCAGCAGGCCCGGATAAATAAATACAACCACTCTTTTGATATTATAATTTTATTTATATAAGAAGACTTTTTAAAGCTCATGGAAAATTTCATTATCTTTCAATTCCATTTTTCCACAAACTTTTTGAAGTCATCTTATATTAAACTAGCAATCTAAAACAAAACAAAACACTACATTTGGAATTCAATTTCTATTAATAGCCCCAAAGTTAGCACACATAAAAAGTCAGTACTTACTGCTACATTCAAAATAAATGAAATACGCTTAAGTTACATCTCTGTAACTAATCAGAGATAATTCATAATTTTATGGTGTTTCCAGTAAAAACAATGATCTCAGTAGAAAACTGTAAGCCATCAGCCTCATGGCATCTGTATTTTTAGCAGCCTGATATAACACTGTATTATTACCAGTTGACGTTGAATATTTTCATGTCGTTGTTTAAGAAGTTCTTCTGTCCTCTGTAAGAGGCCAAATTCTGCCTTGAATTCAGCTATTATCTGGTGCTTCTTTTTGAAAACTGTACTCTTGCTTCGAAGTTTACTGACATACCGTTTGAACTGCAAAGGAACATCATATATCATCTAGTGAGTACAAGAGTAAATATTCATATATCACTTTGGGTATGTTTTGGGTATGTTTCATTTGGAGGGTGAACCATTTAAATATTCTAAATCCTTATTTTGGGTGTTACCAATAAGAAATCTGAAAAAGGAACTCAACCCTCTAAGTAAAAAAAAAAAGAATAAATTAATCATGAAAAAAGGGAGAAAAAAAAAAAAAAGAAAAAAGGGAGAAAAAGTAGGAGATAATTGACAATAATTATGACTGTGGTCTTTTTGTGGTATGTAATTAATGTATTATGCTATTTTGGTAGCAGTCTATTGGATCTACTGGAATTAATATAGTTCATACTTACAGCTGTTACTGATCAATTAATAATTGTGCTTTTGCCATATATGCTAACAAGCCATCTGAAACATGAAGTTACTCATCCCAAATATTAAGAGCTAAGAAATATTCCAAGTTGGCAGAAACCCACAGTTGCTTGATTCATCCATTTATCTATTCATGATATCAAAGTTTTTACTATTTCTCTCTAATGGAAAGAGCCATTACTTAAGTAATACCATATAGTTTAGGAAAGCAAATGAGTGAAGAAAACATAGTACTTCAAGATCATTTGACAAGCAATGCTTATTGTCTAAGGAGCCCTGTTAATGCAATGGTTAAGCTCTTTGCTGGTGCTTTGAACTCACCTATGGCTCTGAGGAAAAAAGAGCCCGCAATCTGCTCCCATAAAAAATAAACCCTAGGGCAGTTCTACTCTGTCCTATAGGGCGCTGTGAGTCGACATTGACTTGACAGCATACAATCACAACAACGATGACTTATTTACCTACTCTAGGCTAGGCTCTGTGCTAGACCCGGAGGCTCGAATTCTAAACAAGACGCTCACAGGTTTTGTCCTCATAAAGCTTGAGGAACAGTGGGGAAAGCAAACATAGAACTGGTATTTAAAACCACATGGACATTACAAACAAGTGTAGAGGCCCAGAGAAGAAATAACCACAGTTTTAGTCAAGGTAGGGATGGAGGTAGAAAGGTGGAGGGATGAGATTTAAGGAAGGTAGGTTATGACAAGTTTCTCAGAACATGTCATATTTAAGCCAAGACTAAAGGAGCACAGGTAGGGGTGTGCTGAAAGGAGGGACGAGGCAGGGGAGAACATTTCACAGGGAGAGAACAGCCTTGGCGCACTGAAAATAATGCTCATGTGAGAAAAGAAGCCAGTGGTAAATACAAGATACTTCTGGTATTTCTGAAACAGAGCACAATCCTTTTTTCATTCTGTCCCTGTCATTTCCTCTTATGTACCCAATAAATAATTATCAGATGCTTCTGACTACATAAAAATTTTTTCCTGCTCTAACTATTCTTCTATTAACTACATTACAAAGAAAAATTTCCACAGTAAGCCTGGCCTCTTGTATTTGAACCTAACAGTTCACATAAAAGCAAGCTTCCATATTACATAATAAGAGATAATTTTTTGAGAATCCTGGCCTTTTTAATGCCCAATGCTTTTTAAAACTCACCTTTGGGGTAACAACTTTTATAAACTAAAACCAATAAACATATTGCTAAAATTTTCATAACACAGAAAATAAGGGAAAATTAATTCAAAGTCACTTAAGATCTATTACCATGTTGGTATTTTTCCTTCCAATTTTTAAAGTGAACTTAAGGTCAATAGTTCTAAGTTGTAAGATGGTAAGATATTCTGAGAATGGATTTTTGTTTTGTTTTTTGGCATTTCTAAAATTTAGAAAAAAACTTTTAAGATTTGCTTGAGTCCTAAATAAATGTTATAAGATCCTAAAAATAACAAGATCAAAAATTTTTCACATAAAAATAATTTGCCAGTTCCCTGTTCAGAATACTTGTAAATGCAACTTATACTTTGAAATAACTGAAGAATATACTGTAAGTTAGAGGAAGGTAGCTTAACATGTTTTTTAATCCATGATTGCATTAGTTTAATATTATAGAACGCAACCGATACATGGCAAATTATCAATGGTTGACTTACTGCAAATTTATTAAAAATTTAAGTCAAACCAAAGTAACTAGACTAATAACTTGCAAATTTTCCTTTTAACGAACAAATGTGTAAGCCTGATACAGCCACAGACTCAAAATCCCTAGAGTAACTATATGTTCTATTAAAAGTGTCCTGGGCAAAATGCCCACAATGAAATCAACCCCGTTCATCTTCTATCCTCTGTAATATCTAGGCCAATTTTCCTCTTCTCTATCTTGCTGCGCTCCAGAACTATTTTTAAAAGATGAAAGCTATAAACGGTGTTGGTGAAGGAGCAAACCCACAAATTACTTAATGTGCTCTACGCTGATTGGGTACCATTTGACGTGTACTGTGTACGTACTACCTACGGGGAGGGTAGCCAGGGTCAGAGTGATCACCATCTATACAGTTAAGCAACAAGTGGGTTTCAATGCACTCTGAAGGGTTCAGCTGCACCTCTGAATTCACTGGAAGAAAGAAAACACACAACCAATGTTTGTCTTCCATTGGGTATTTCCTCCAACCCCTTGGAGTTTTGGTTATCTCCATTTTCACTGTTATCAAAACACCATGATGCACACATTGAGGGTAAATTTTCTAACACATTCCCAATAATTTCTGTAGGACATATTTTCAGAAATGGTCAATGGGAACACAGGTGTTTGATGCATGCTGCCACACAATGCTCTGAAAAAAGTCTGTTTCAATTTATACATCTAGCCATGTGTACTTTTTATTTGTCAGTTTGATTGGCAGAAGCTGGTGCTTTATTAGTGTGCCTAAAATTATTAGGGTTCTTTCACCTTTTCCTTACGGACATTGTGGTGATTTTTCTTTTCATGATTTACTTGCCTTGGCCTATTTCAATACTGGAGTGCTGTTTTTGTTTTTTTCTTTTAATGGTTCTCTAACAGTAATTTAGAAATTTCTGGCCTCAGGAATTCTTTATATTCTTAAAATTAGTGAAGTTCCCAGAATATTTTGTTTATTTGTTTATCTCTATTGATAGTTACTATATTAAAAATTAAACCTGGAGGGGGGTAGCGAGAAAGAGGGGGGGAAAATGAGGAGCTGATATCAAAGGCTCAAGTAGAAAGCAAATGTTTTGAGAATGATGATGGCAACAAATGTACAAATGTGCTTGACACAATGGATGTATGTATGGATTGTGATAAGAGGTGTTCGAGCCACCAATAACATGATTTAAAAAAATTAAACCTGAAAAAAATATAAAACACAAAAAACCACAAGCACACATGCCATTAGCTGCCAGAACAATGACATTATCACTCATGTAGCCTCTGGTAACTTTCACTGCACGCTTAAGAGTGAGTGAGTCCCTATGTTCCTTGCCCCAGCCCTTTATGGTGCGAGGGAGCCAGAGCGGTGGCTGGAAAGGTGGGCCTGTGTGGCAGGACAGGGAGGTACATAGAGACAGGGGCCAGAGTTGGTTGGGGAATTCTCCAGATGTGTGGGTGAGCAGATTGGTTGACCCCAAAAGAATGGAGGAGAGTTATGAATTAAAGGGAAACAATTATATTAGCAGATCACTTGGTATAACTACGGGAGTTCTGTTGGTGCAGTGGATCAAGGATTTAGGCACTGTGAACCATTAGGTTAGCAATTCAAGCCCAGTAGCCACTCTAGGGAAGAAAGATGAGGCTATCTGCTCCTGTACAGATGTATTGTCTCAGAAACCCTATGTAAATCACTATGAGCTGGAACTGACTCAATGACAGTGAGTGTGTTGGTAGAGAATGGTAGTGTGGGTGTGATGGGTAGACTGGGAATGAAAAGTATAACAGCTAAATCTTCATTTCCCACAGCAGTATGCCAATAACTGAAAAATCAAGAAATTCCAGCATAAACATGTTACTTAGATATAAGAAAATAAACACTAAAAAAGAGCCAATAATGGTTTCTTCTAGGAAGCACATTGGGAATGTGGAAAGAGCTTTGTAACACTGCCATAACTCTCTAAACTAAATACACGTATTCCACCACCTGAGAAGTTGGATATAAAAGGAAAATGTGCCACAGCATGGTAGGAAGGGTTCATTAATAACCTGTGATACACAGATAATATAAACTTGCTTGCTGAAAGTCAAGAGATGTTGAAGACTTTCTGATGAAGAAAGATATCAAAGCCTTCATTCAGTATGGATTACACTTCAACATAAAGAAAACAAACTCCATAAATCTCCATAAATGAAGCAGTAAACAACATCATGATCAACAGAGAAAATGCTGAAGTTGTCAAAAGATTTCATTTTACTTAGCTCCACAATAAATACTCAGGAAAGCAGCAGACAAGAAATCAAACAACATGTTACAACTGGGCAAATCTGCTGCAAAGGACTCCCTTATGCAAAGATGTCACTTTGAAGTCTATGGTGGGCCAAAGTAGAACTGATGCCTTTGAATTCTGGTGTTCACAAAGAATACTAACTATATCACGAGCTGACAGAAAATGAATAAATCTGTCTTGGAAGAAGCCAAAAATGCCCTCATAAGTGAGGATGGAGAGCCTTCATCTCCCATATGTTGTGTATATGTTCAGGAAGGGACCAGTCATTGGAGAAGGACATCATGTTCGGTAAACTAGAGGGTCAGAGAAAAAGAGCAGGATCCTCAACAAGTGACTGACACAGTGGTTACAACAATGGGCTTAACAATAGCCAACAGCTATGGGGATGGCACTGACACAAACCAAACTCACTGCCATAGAGTTGATGCCCACTCATGGCGACCCTATACGGACAGGTTAGAACTGCCCCTGTGAGCTCCAGCGACTGTAACTCTTGATAGGAGTAGAAAGCCCTGTCTTTCTTCTGTGGAGCAGCCACTGGTTTCAAACTGATAACCTGGTGGATCGCAGCCCAATGTGTAACCACTATGACACCAGGGCTTCTTTATTCTGTTGTACATAGATAGGGTCACTATATGGCACATAACAAACTTATAACTAAATTA